ATAGACTTCAAAGGTGGGGCATTGCTGCTCCTACCGATTGCGTTCTTTGTCAGTAAGCTTCGGAAACTCACGAACATCTCTTTCTCCACTGCGATTTTAGCAAGGAACTCTGGGAGTTCTTTGCATCTGTATGCTATAGCTCCCCGCCATTATCCTTAGGAGATTGCAGGGACTGGTTGCGAAGCCAACTTGACAGTGAATCCTGCCCACGTAGGGAAATCGCCAAGTTGGTTGTGCAAGCAGTGGCGCACACGACTTGGCAGGAACGAAACAGGAGACTATTTCGGAAGGAGTCCAGGACGGTGGGAGATCTTCAATTGGCGGTTGACAGGTTCATAAGAGACATACTCATTTCTAGGAACTCAAGTTCGGTGTTGATTACGGTATCCCTAGAGGATTTCTTGCTATCCATCAGTGATCCAATACGTTCAATTCTTCGGCGCTAGCTTACACGGCGAGTTCTCTGTTATTCCACTTTTGTCATTTTGATTCAGGAATCCTGTTCCTTTGGGATAAACTATGACTTTGTTCGGGTTGTACATATACAATTTTTTTTAGTAGCTAATACATTTACCGTTATTAAAAAGAAATCAGATTTTTGATTGAGCAAAACGAATGGATGAAAAAAACCTCAGATTATGGAGAGTTTGACACGTGTCTCAGGGAACAAATACACGCGGTTTGTCCCTGACTCGACGTACTCTGTAGCCAATCAACGCATTACGAAAAGGAGCGGTTGCTGCTCGTGCTCCTGCCTGCCCACCTGTCCTATCGGCCTGATAACAGCAGTTAACGGACGGTTTAAAGAGTTCGTCGTCTCCGTTTAGGGTTTATTACTTAAATAGCCCAGATGTGTCACAAGAATTTCTTCTGTACACAACCAAAAAATGCTTGAAAAAACGTTGCAGTTTGTACCCTACTTTTTATGACAAAAGACCTAAATACCCATTTAATGAAACGATTCGTTTTGATTGAAAAAGAAATGAAACGTGTTTTCGCTTGAAAATCTGATATTAAAAACGTGTGAATATTAAATATTCAGACAAATTAAATGTGCTTCTCTCTCATCTCTCTCCCTGTGATCATCCCGATCGTGCGCATTTCTGTCCGCCATTGAAGCTTTGTCGGAGCTTTAAATCAAGCTTATGATCAGTTTTTTTTTGTGCTTTCGAAACTAATCTCCTATACAGGTATAATGGGAATAAAACCCAAGCATTTTAGTTTATTATTGTGCCTTAAATTCTGTTCTAGGGTTTCATTTAAATGTCTGAAATTTTTGGGTTGTTGATGAGAATGACAAATTTCGGTTCATTTGACAGGATTATGGATGGTTTTGAAGATTGTTATACATGTATTTGTATTCGGTATGGTGGTTTTTGGGGAAAAAATGATGATGGATTGTTTGAATGGAAGGGAAGTGATGATTGTTCGAAGACAATATGCATTTTTAACAAAGCAAGCGAAGTAACACACGAGGAACTTGTCGGAACTGTCTGTGCCCAGCTAACCGTTGATTTAGGAAAGACGAAACTGAGTTTTGTTCCAATTGTAATGGATGGAAACCGTCCGGAATATATAGTCGATGACATGGGAGTGAAATCTTTCCTATTTAGCAAAATTAATGGACGGCGAGGATGGTTATACGTAGAGCGAAAGGATGATGATGGAGTTGAGCTAGAAACGTGTGTTTGTGAAGTTGAGTTAGCGGTTGATGTGAATGGAGAAAAAGGAAGAGAGATTGTTGATGGTAATGGTTTAGTTGTGGATTTTGTGGTAGGAGAACAAGATGAGGAAGAAAGAGAACACAATGATGTGGAAATGGGTGTTGATTATGATGTGGTTGAGCAAGAGACTTTGCATGATCGTATACGACACGAGAATGAAGTGGTTGTTACGACCGACAATGCTAGAGTTGAAAACACGACAGAGGTAGCTACTGAAGTTGCAACGGAGTTAGGGAATGCAGTTACAATACAGTTAGGTACTGAAGTTGCAATAGAGTTAGGTACTGAAGTTGCAGATGATGGTGGAAGACGTGTAAGTGGAACCGAATGTTTCTCGTATGAAGACAGATTGGGTTTTACGATAGAAAAGGAATTTGACAGTAAGAAAGAGCTAAAGATGAAGGTAATGAAAGCTTCACATGATGCATGTTTTGAATATTATGTATACAAGTCCGAATCACAGATATGGGAAGCAAGATGTCGATTCCGAAGACAAGGTTGTATGTGGAAAGTTCGAGCAGTGGTTAAAAAGAAAATTGAGTGTTTTAGAGTGATGAAGCACGTGAATGTCCATACATGTACACCGTTGTTACAACCACAAGAGAGAGAAGGGAAAACAACCAATGGTACAATATAGATGGTTGTTGCTTATCTCAAAAGACATTTTGCGGGATTCCTAGAGTGAAAAGGTTGATGTCTTTGGTGAGCAAAGCTTATAAATGCAAGGTTTCTTACACAACGGCATAGAGAGGAAGAAAACAAGCTCAAAATGTTGTTTAGGGGAATCCGGTGGAAAACTATAATAGGCTTCCGAGTTATTTCCATATGTTGAAGGAAAAAAACGAGGTACGATAACGGAGATACAATTTGAAGAAGATGGACAAACTTTTAAGTATGCATTTCTTGCTTTGGGTGCTTGCATCAAAGGGTGGTGTGCAATGCGTAAAGTGATTGCCGTAGACGCAACATCTCTAAAAACGTCATATAAAGGCTTCTTGATTGTCGCAACAGCTCAAGACTAGTAACCGACATTTATATCCACTAGCTTGGGGCATAGTTGATACAAAAAATGATGCTTCTTGGAATTGGTTTATGAAGAAATTGGCAGGAGTGATTCCTGATAGCGATGATATGGTTTTGATTTCGGATCGACATCAAAGCATCGCAAATGCTATTCGTGATGTATATAGGAGAGCTAAACATGCATTTTGTGCGTATCACATTTCACAAAATATCAAGACATTAGTCAACAAAGGAGTACGGGGGAAAAAAAACAAAAACGGAGACAGTGTTGCTGGGATGTTCTACAAGTGTGCAGAGTGTTATACCGAGAAAGAGTTTTTAGAACTGTGGGAAGATTTCTGCGAAAGGTTAGACTACATAAATACTGATTTGCGACTATAGTACAACTGTTTCATAGGTTGAGTGAGTTTATGAAATTTTCTTTGTGCAGGTTTCCGAAGGTTGCTGAATATTTGAACAGGAGTGTTGAACCTGTTAAATGGGCAAGGTGTTACTTCCCTGGTGAAAGATATAATCTATTGACAACCAATGGCGCGAAATCGATTAATTCCGTGTTGAAGAAGGCGAGGACATTACCTTTGCTTGGTTTGCTTGATGTGATAGTGGACAAAACAATTGAATGGTGGTGTAAACACAGGGCCTGTGCATTTTCAAGTACACAGGAATTGACGCCTGAAGTTCATAAGGAGTTACATAGGTGGTATAGAACGTCCAAAGCGTTTAGTATACGAGAGATAAACCGCAATTGGAAAGAATACGAAGTGACGGAGGACAATGGGAAAACGTATTTCGTTGATCTTGGAAAGAAGTGTTGCGATTGCAAAGTGTGGGATGTTGATAAATATCCTTGTTCTCATGCGATAAAAGCTTTGCATGAGCACGGTGACAAAGAAAAGTTACTTGAGTATTGTTCATCGTACTATACGAGGGCCACATGAGAATTGGCATATGCTGATAGTGTGTACCCAGTTTCTGATATTTCTCATTGGGAAATTCCTGATCATATAGCGGAGTTGAAAGTCGATCCTCCTGCTATAAGAGACCGACGTGTTGGACGCCCGATGACGAATCATATAAAGAGTGCGGGAGAAAAACGAATAAAGAAGAGAAAATCGAGATTGAAGGTAGGTGATTCGTAGGAGGAGAATGAAGCACATTCAAAGAGGATGAAGACTAAAGACTACGAAGTCCGGGTGCAGTTACGGGATGAAATGTAAACCATGTTTATATATTTCATCTTTTAACTGGACGACTTTTTTGGAACTATTTTGTCGCTACTATATTGCCACTTTTTGTAATATGTATGTTTGGCAAGAGGGAAAAGTCAATGGAAAACTCTTTAAAAACCGTGAAAATCTGTCTTCGGGGGCCCACAAAAAAAAGTCAAAAAGTAGACAATGTGGTCGTTGGATTTTGTCCTATTATAAACCAAAACCAAATAATTGCGACTTGCTTGTAACTCTGTTGCGATTGTTACATACTTTTTGAAAGTGGGTAAAATTGCATAAATTATTACGAGTTTCGTTAATGTAGTGATAATTACATCCTAATTAAGGATAAAACATGACATTATGGGGTCACATGACATTATGGGGTCATATTTTATGACATTTTGAAAATTTCATTACTTTCTCTCCAAAGTAAGAGTTACACATTCATATCTACATAGGTTTGCTTTCATATTATGTTTGTACAAAATTTCAAAAGTTCTTAAAATATTAAACGGGTGCAATTTAATGATGTATTTACACGTACTTTTATATTTTTCATTCATCCCTCGACGAATTTTAGACAAATAAACCATTTTTTCAAACTTACGACCAACTGAAGTCGTAACAACGTGGTAATAGAGTCATATATTAGTAGTAAATTGGATGCAACTAAGTCTTAAATAAAAGATTTTTCGAATGTTTAAAAATGTCATGGGCCCACTTGTCAGAATTGTGTTACTCGATGTTTTTTCCATCTGTGGGGTCCACTGTGCTGAAATGTTGACTTTTTTCTGAGGTGGGGACCACATCGCAGAAAGTTTTCTGATCTGATGGATTTTTTTTGTCTATGGTTTATACGATTATAAAATTTACATAATATTTTTTGACATTACTTGTTTGTTGCGACTTCTATAGCCCTAACTTACGACTTCTTGCAGATTGTTTTTAACAAGGGTTTACTTAGTTTTTTATAAATCCAAACCTGTCACAATTCACAGGCAATAAATTTGTTGTGTACAAACAACCATAATCCACAAAATACTCACAAACATAAAAGACCATAATCCACAAGTATAACACAAACATACAAACCACAAACTGAGTTCAAAAGTCTACGAAACAGAGTTCAAGAGTCTAGGTACCAAGGACATAATCGCAGAAAACTGAGTTCATAAAATTGATAGACTTCATTGTATCCGCCCATGGATACGTCTTAATCCAAATCTACCACGACATCTACCTCTATCTATTCTTCCCCTTCCTCGCGATCTAATGATTCCACCCTTCGAATTGATAGACTTCATTGTATCCGCCCATGGACTCGTTGTTTTGGATGATGTTTTTCTGACTCGTAATAACCTGTCAGTTGGTTTGTTCGGCCTCACAATCTCTGCACCTTCTTCCTCGGCCTCCCCTCCATCATCATCTGTTTCAGTCTCTTCTCCCACTCTCTCAGCCTCTAAACCCTCTTCTGCTGCAGCCTCTTCTCCCACTCTCTCAGCCTCTAAACCCTCTTCTGCTGCAGGTCGCAGCAACTCATTTCTTCATCCTCTTTTCCCGCATCTTCATATTCTTTTTCTTCTTCTTCTTTCTCTCCTTCTTCATCTTCTCCTTCTTTTTCTTGTTCCACTACATCCGTCTGAGATAAATCCTTGAGAATGTCTACAGCCACCATGTCTGGTTCGTTAAACACATTTTCGACAGCCTCTTCATATGTTTCCGGAGGGGTTCTCGTAGTCCTGGCCGAACCCTCAGCCTTTTCATTCCCAGTCAACTCAGTCATTTTCTTCATCAAGTAGTCCAACCGAGCTTCAACTTCAAAGGGATTGTCGTACTTACCCGCTGCGATCATACCGGCCACAATCACTTTCTTCATAAACTCACCTTGACCTTCAATCGCTTGCTTCATTTGTTCACCTTGTACTGCAATCGCACTTTGCAATTTCTTTTCTGTCTCAGCCAACTTCCGAGTCAGATACCCAACCTGCCCTTTCAAATGCGAGACTTGAGAAGTTAAATCTTGACCATCGCCTTCTTCTTCTTCTTCTTCTTTATAAGTCACTTGTCTTTTGCCTTTTTCACTTCTTCTTCTTCTTTTTTCCACATTTCTTGTTGAAGCAGCTGCTTTCCTTTTCTTCTGCATCTGCATC